CTGTATAAGAAGTCAGAAGTCATTCTTTTTGTAATTTTTCCTTTCTTTCCTTTTCATCACTTTTGTATTCTTTATTTCTGTCTTGTTCTCTGTTTCTGTCTTTGATTATTAGTTCTTGTTTGCTTTTATTTTTATGCTTTTTATAACTTAATAAAATTCTTACTAAAAAAAACATTCTGTTCTCAAATTGTACAGAGAATGTCAGGTAAGATAACAGAGGAGATCACCTTCTTTGGCAAAAAATGAGAGTTGAGATACATTATTTTGTGCTGGGAATAATGAAGATGAGATTGGAAACTTGGAAAAAGAGAGATAATCAGGTTGTTTGCCTACGATGACCAGCCAGGGAGCACAATTATTTTATGGACTGTACAAGCAAGTGTTTGGCTACTGCTCATATTGTTATGTTGTGTTATCTTCTACCTTAGGTGTTAGGAAAATGAGGAGGATTTTCTGAACAAATAAAACTGGTATGTACATTAAGCTTACCATTGGTGAAAGTGTTCACGTAGTATCTTCGCCCCTGGGGAGACATATAACTTTGCCAGCCAGGTGGGAGATGACCATTTTGAGAATCTTCTCCAACTTGAGGAGTGGCCTTCCTAGGTTTCTGCTGAAGGAATGAAAGAACAAGTAAGTTAAACTGTTTTTCAAAGAACCTTCAAAAGAATTTACAGAACAGGTAATAGTATGAAATTCAAAGGCACCCTTAAAAGTTCCTGGGAATAGAATATAGCAGTTTGAACACTCAATACTGCTAAGAGCTCAAACACCCCAATTATCTTACCATCTGCAGCTTGGAAATCTATTCAGGCTATCATCGGTAAAATACAGCCATTCTATAAGAGCAGAGAAGATGATGGAATGTTGTGGAACCTGTACTGTAGCTTTGGCAATTCAATGATATTATTGCATATGATGGTTGGAAAAGGAACATGATCTATGCCCTGCCTCAAAGGCAAATACATACTCTGTCTGTATTTATACTACCCTTATACATCATCAACAATGTTGGTAAAATCCACCAACCCACTACAACAACTGGATGAGTTTTAGCAACCAAATGGTTCTGTAAAACCATTCTACAGAACTCAGGGACCAACAGTGAAATAAATATTTTGCTGGTGACCTTTATCCCTACAACAAGAAAACTGCCTGTAGGGTTAGATACAATGAAACTGGTTTGTGTCTTTCCAAATCAAAGCGATTGTTCAAGCTTCCCTAAACAACAACATATGTATATACCATCTTGCAGACTCACAATTCAAAGCAAGCAAAACTCAAGATTGCCATATTGCCTCTTTGACTAGCTAACACTTTGGGATCAGAAAAATACTCAAGCTCAATATACAGCATATTGCTACACCTTTATGAAATAATTTCTCATATATTGTCCAGTACAGACTTCTGCTGTGAATCACAGAAAGGGAAGTGAAGGAAGATTTGAGAAAGGAAGAGGCAGGAAGTGATGGAAGAAGTAGGATGTGAAGGCAGTTGCAGTAGAAGTAAGGGAATCTGTGGTGCATGTGGGGATAGCAAAGCACTTAAACATATAAGATGTTTATCTTATTCAATAATTATCTTATTGGATAATTGTATCCAATTATATTCATTCAGCAGAAGAATGGATATGGCTGATGTATCAAATCACACGCCTTCCTGCAGCTTCCTGAACAACCAAATCTGCTCTGCAGGCAGAGGTGGGAACAGTGGGATCATCCATGTGAGAAGGGCTCACAGGATGCTGCACTGGGGAGGACAGGAAGAATAATTCTCATGGCAGAATCAGAACTCTACTCAAGCTAATGCCAGATGTAGCCCTAGTACTAAAGCACTGTGGAAATCATCATCTATATGACAAAAGAAGAAGAAATGCAATTGGGGGGTCCATACAATAGAGGGTGGCAGGAATATATACAAGTTCAGCCAACAGCCTTTTTCAGCCCCACAACCATCACTCCCAACATTGTAATTATACATTACGCCTGGTCACATGGGGACAAAGTGCCATACAAAGGAAAGCAGCCCATGGACTCTCTTATTAGGCTGCATTCCCTTCAGCAAGAGTGGGGTGAAGAACCAAGCCATTTAGACTTCCAGCTCATCATCTTACAATGTCCCTATGCAACTGCAGTGGAAGAAACAGCAAGTTGCAAAGCAGAAACACGGCTGGGCATTGCTCCAAGTTGAATACAAGCAGCTGTGCATGAATAGCTTTTGGCTGTGTCCATTACAGCTGGGAGACTTAGGGCCAGCTCTTCTCTGACCAGCTATGGGTGACGTGCAGTACAGTACTAGCCTTGCTCCAAGAGTAGGCTGCAGGGAAAGAAAGGCATAATACTAAGGCCCTTAAGTCTCATTATCTCAGTAGCCTAACAGCATCACTCATTAGAATGGTATGTGCTACACATGACTCACTTCTGCTCCTATGCACAATACTGCTGTTAACTGCCAGGTGTTCAGGACTCCACATGAGTCAGGCATTCAGGAAACATTCCATTAGGTCACTGTGACCATGGGTATATTCCATTGTCTAAGGGCTTCCCTGGTGAAAGTAGGATCTCTTTTCCCCACAAGCAGAACCCACTTTTGGAATCTGAGCTCCTAGGAATGATTTGGTTTCTCTACTTCAACCAGAATCTGCTAATACTATAGGTTCATGCTCATTTCATAAACAAATTGGCAGAACTAGGTGGAGGAGGTATATGGGATGCCTGGATGCTTTTGAAGAATGAGCCCCAATTAAGAGTTTCAAAACTTTCCATTGATGAGGACAGAGAGAGAGAGGGAGATTAAAGTTTAGATTTTAATAAAGTTCATTAGCTTCTCTCCTTATTTTACAACTATGGATTGGCCTTACTTAGTAAGCTAAATGACTGCCTTTTCTAACTACCCCTAGCACATAAGAAACTGCCTTACAAGTGAAATATTTGGTCCATCCAGTTCAGCATTGCCTATGGTACACTGACTAGCAATTGCTCTCCCAGGATACACTGGATACATACTGTACCTTACATTCTTTCCTAAGGTCACTTCAACACCACCACCATTTTAATTTCCCTAAACCTCAGAAACATTTTGAAGGGGATCAGATTTGAAATGCCAAGAACAAGAAATGGAAACAGCAGACAGACAAGAAGGAAGTTATGAAGACAAGGGGAATTTGTCAAAATAATTATCTGCTTATTTTGCCTGAGCTACTGAAGGGGAGTTGCAAAGCTCTCAAGCTACCATTTTCCTTTAAGGACCCAAAACTTGGGAGCTGGGGAGAGGGGTAAGAAAGAATTCCTTCATTTAAAAAGTTCCTTTTAAATGAAGCCACTGTACCTCAAGGAAACAACCCCACTCAGTTTCATGGTTGTTTCAACTACACAAGGCTGAGCCAAAAATGTTGTAAATCAGGTCAGCAGCATTCCAACACTGCTGATATTGTGGGAATACAGAGGTCCAGAGTAGCCTTCAACCTGTCACAGAAGCCTTGTGTGGAAATTCCATAACGAACTCTTCTGTGTTTACTTCAACGGACACTCTTCCATGCACACAACACACACTCATTTTGGAAGATAGGATTTGTTTTCTCTTTCCCTAGCCAAATAGGAAAAGAAAGGAAATACTGGTCGTTGGCAGACATGTAAAGGAAAAAAAAATGTATGGGTAGAGTGGAGGCTGGGGGTGGGGTATATGTCTGGGGAAAAAAAGGAATTTGTGGCCCTACCCCACTGCCGTTTTTGCAGAAACTCCTATCTTATGGACACTTGATTTGGCACAAGACCAAAGGCAAGGCTTTTCAGTATTCAGTCCATTCAGATGGTTACTATTCATCAGGAGAGATGTTTTGTGTTGTAAGCAGGGTTTTTGGAAGATGTTATGGCAATGTTATGTCAGCTGCACTAGCTGTCCCTTTTTTTGTCTATCTAGTGTTCAACTGGTTTTAACTTCTGCAGCCCTAAACGGCTTGGGACTGAGTTACTTGATGGACTGCTTGTTATACCTTCAGGAATTGTTGGAAATTTGCCTGCGTGCTCATACGCATGTTGGAGAGATGCAGGGAGAAGCTTTTCATGTACAGACTTCTCCTTGGAGAAATATACTTAGTGTTATTGTTGCTGCTATTGCTATTACTATCATTAATGCCTAAAGATGTTTCTCTAAAGACTTATTCTTAATTATTCTTCTTGATCTATTTTGGAATATTATCTGACTGATTTCTAGGCTAATGTTTCAATATATTTTACTCTGCTCCTTAGGCTTTTAGGTTTTATGGATTATTATAAAGGTTTAGGGCTATAGCTACTGTTTTGGTTATTATTGTACTATTACTTTTTAAAACGATGAGCTACTGTGACAGAATACTTTTCTTGCAGAAATATCATTAAAACGTCTGTAATAAATATTCACATAGAAATGTTCCTCAAGATAAGAGCCAATTTGGGTTAGTGATTAACATGCTGAACTAGAAACTGAGAGACCACGAATCCCAACCCTTCCTCTGGCACAGAAGCCAGCTGGGTGATTTTGGGCCACTAGGTCTCTATCTCCCTCAGACCAACCCAACTCACAGGATTGTTGTTGTGGGGAAGGAGCATTATGTATGCCACCTTGAGTTATATAAAGAATGTAAGGATATAAATCAAATAAATATATGCTGAAGTGTGGTGGTGAGGACTGCAGAGGAATCTTCAGACTTACATACAGTACTATAACAATCTGACATTGAGCAAGCTGTCCAGATTGATACCCCCCACCTCCCACTCAAAGTCCTTAATTAAATCTCTGGGGATTTGTAGACAACTGGAAGAATAAGACATTGTTTCCTGAAACCAAGCAGGTGGGATAGTATAGGACACTGTAATAGGGCTCCCTTAAGTCCTCTTCCATTTGCTGTCAACAGAAAATGTTATTGGCCGGTGGGAGGAAAATTAACAATAATCATTCCGAGGTTGGAACCTTTTGTGATAAGATCATCATTCCATGTTCCAGAACCCCAGCAGTGTTCGGCTAAGCAGTTACAGCTGCATGACAGTCTATAGCTGTAAAATCAAGTCTACAAAAGCTACAGCACTGTCCAGTTATAATACTGAAAATAAATCTGTCTACTGTACTCATTCAGTAATGGCAATTTTGCACTCTCTCTTAGCACCCATCTGTGTACATCTGTCCATGCAAAAAGTGAACAGTCTAGCTTTCTGCAGAAAAACTCATTGCTACACACATCCAATCTGTGCATATGCTGCTTTTCATAACAGCATCATGTGGGGCTGCTGCTTTTTGCCAAGAAACTAAACTATACATCAGGCAGCTCGAAGGAAATAATTGGTGTTCCAGGGAGGGCTACAGAAGCAGCAGTGTAAAACTTATAAAAGACTTGTGGAAGGTTTTTGTTCCAAGCAGAAACCAGGCAAATACACAACATGTGTACTGTTGGACAGAGCACTGTGACTTTTCGAAGATGCTCAGCTGCTGACAAAAACAGTACGTTACCACAAGTCTCTTTCCCCCATTCAAGTGTACAAGAAGGTATCAGTTGTCCTTCGTTGAATGTGTCAGCCAATCCTGAAAATGTATCTGGAATGTTTCTGGGCTCAATTGAGCCTGGGAATTACTCTTATCTACAAGACCTATCTACTACTCACCATGTAAGTGCTGGCTGAGGTTACCCAGCAATATAGAAGAAGTATTGGAAATATACATGTGTGTTTAAATAATTAGGACTTGAGCCCTAACTTTGAAAAAGTGTTCCAGGAGTAAAACATTGAGATTTATTTTTCTGAATGTACACACAACTTATTTAGGATCAAATTAAAGAACTATGTGTGCAAAAGTACTGTTTATAATAATTGAATATATAGAAACACTAAGATCCTCATAGCCAGTCCCAGAAGATGAACTAGCTATTGTAAATGCAGTGCAGTAATGCCTATTTCTGTACACAGTGCATTCTTCATGAAGAAATGGATTGTCAATCTACTATGTAGAGCAGAAAACCAGATTCTTCTGTTGTCTGTACAGTCTTTTTTTTTTTTGTTTTTTTTGCAGTTTTCTGTGTGGAAGTCTAACAGTGTTTCCTCTGTTCTTTGCATATTAGTAGGATAGTGAGGTGGGGAGTAAGGAGTGCGGGTATATGATATGGGTGTTTTGCATGCACAATGCTGCTATCACATATTTTAAAAGTCAGTTAGCTTATTCTGACACAATCTGTTTAAAAAAGATACAGAATATTGCCCTCCCACCATCAATCTCAACCGTCAGGATTTCACTCTAGGAGTCCAAGGACATATTTTGCTTTAATCATACTCAGCAGCTTCCTGCCAACCCACAAATTTGCCCCAATTTGTTATATGTTCCCAAACACAAAGAATTCACTCTCCCACACAATCCCAACATTTTTTCATCATCATTATTTACCATGATCTTTAGTTTTTTTCAGAAGCTATGTCTAATTCTTTCAGCAATGCTTAGCCAGCTGCTTCACAACCATTTAATGGACACTGCTTTAGGCTCTCATTAAAGATGCTCTGGGCACACCTTCTAAATTTGCTTCTTTCTAACAAGTAATAAAATCAGATACATACTTCCCCTTCATACAGTGTTTTAACCAGAGCCACTAAATATCTTACAGTGGTGAATCTCAGAATTTAATTGAGTTCTTCTGCAATTCCTAAATTCATGCAGAGTCAAAAAGCTCAGACAAACACTGTGTCCAAAGATATAATTATGACTAAATTTTAAAATGAACCATCTCTAGAGACATACAGAATCAAGCATTTCTCAATGTACCATATTTTCCTCTACAGAATGCCATCTTACCAATGGGTGCTTTTGCCAAACCTCTTGTAGAAGCTATGATCCAGGCAGAACTGACTGAAATCTTCCCTTCTGTTTCCAAGATGAGGACGGAAATTACCCACTGCCTCTTCTGCTGTCCATGCACAAATAAAAAGCCAATGCCTTATGTGAAAACTCAGAGGAAGAGCAACTACTTAAAGGGGTCTCTCTCTATGTGTCAACATATTTCAGCACTTCACTCTGTTTTTTGAAAATCAAAAGGACTCATTCTAGAGGCTTTCCAGATGTGAAAGCTAGTAGAAATCTTGCCAATTTTCAAATGTCTGTGTAGGTGATGGAGAGCACAAAGCAAGAGTCTGTATCACTGACCTAGTGCTCCCTACATACAGACAGGCTTTGTCCAGCTTTCCTTGGTCCAGTCCCAGCTTCCTTGGTCTTTTGTATAGCCTGTCTGTCTCCCTGCAATCTTTTCCCCTGACTTCATATAAAGTCAAGTCTTTGTACTCTGAATGACCCAACCAGTGTTGCAAAATTAAGCCCAATCACATGATTTAGTGGGCACTGTAAGAATGTGAGATATAGCAAATATAGGATGAATTGTATTTATTTATGCTGTCCTCAAGAAGGGCCTTACCTCCAACAATTTTCGAAAGAGGAAATGTGAACAAGAGCAAAAAAGTTTGCAGCACTGCTTCCTATACAAGAGAGAGAGAGAGAGAGAGAGAGAGAGAGAGAGAGAGAGAGAGAGAGCGCCCTGCTTTCTGCCTTCATTCTGAATTGACTTTGTAATATCAATACATGCTCAGTGTTCACTAGGGGTATAGTACAGTTTAGAATCTTTCAGTGAAAGAGCAGCTGTTATAAACTTTACTATCAACAGGATGTTGGCAACCCATTACGTATCAGGAGAATTCCAAAGACACAACAGAGGTAAATGGTGGCAGAAGACAAAGGTCTCAAGGATGCTCCCAACCTGACAGTCATAATTCCATAACTTCAGATACAATGTGCACAAGATGATGTACATCTTGTTGATGACAGTTTCCACATTTTAAAAATTCGATATCAAATGTGCCAGAAAATGCTATTTTTTTTCCTGTCAAATGGGAACTTCTCTTTTAAAGCATTTGAAAATGTTTATCTCTCTACCAGTTTTATCATATTTATAGTGTATTTTCCAACTGAGATTTGTTTTGCTTTGCTTTTTAAAAAGAATTTTACATAGTCACTTTGAAATTAGCAAGATTTAGGAAGAAGAAACAAATCAAACACTTTATGAATCAAATTGATCAACAATCAATTAATTCTTTTAACTGAAATTTCAGATATGACAGAAGATCCCACTTGGTGTGATTACCCATATGGAGGTTACTTTAGCATCAATTTATTTAAATGCTATTCATGTGTGGCAGCTCAAAAATCAAATGTACTGTAACTTTCTATTACAAAAGAAGGAAGCCTCAAAAGGTATCTTATACATAAGCATCTAATACAAAGCACTAATTTGAGATGAGAAAGGGTCTTATCAGTGGTGGTGCCACCAACTATTTGAAATATCCTTTCCAAAAAGGGTCACCTGGTGCTTTTCTACAGTCTCCCTTTATTTATTTTTTCTACCCACATTAAAAACAAAAACAAAAAACTCTGAAATCTGTACTCTCAGTGGTTGTGTCATGCTTTAATTTAATAATGATTTTATTGCACATGTCCATTGTTATTCTGCTTGGCCAGCAGCAGACTGATACATTTTATAGAATTTTGACTTTTCATGTAAAGGTTCAGATTCCTACTGTATCATTTGAGGGTTACTGGATGACACTGTGGCCAGTATTTATCTCAATCTAACCATCCTGATAATGCTGCCAAAAGGCATATGGTAAGGACAGGCAGGAGTGCTAAACAGAGATGGCCTGTAAAAGCATTGCTTTGTTACTCTTTTTAACAAAGCTTGAAAATGTGAACATTGTCTCATCCAACACTAGGAAGCCTCAGCAAAATAGCCATACAGTTTTCTCGATCCTCAGATCGGTTGATGTTCTAGGTACTTGCTTTCTCCAGGGTGTTGAGCATTCTCTCCTTTCTCCACCCTAATCTCTGCAAGAGACAAAACCACACTATGGAAGCAATCATTTCGAGCTGAGGCATTAAGAATGAATATTAAATGATTCTAAGAGTTTTCACTGATCTACCTTGTCATAGGATTCTAGGTCTTCCTAAAAACCAAGAAAAATTATCTCTCACTCACAAATCTGCATCTCTCCTTCTGCTAAGGAGGCAGAGAGATAGACATTATTTCCATGTAGCCACTACTCAATGTACATCATCATACTGTGAACATTGTCAATCGGTGAACCCATGACAATGACTAGTGCTGCATATGTTGAATCCTCAGATTAATCTGCCACGGAAATAGCTTCACATGATTTCCTGATCCATTTTGACAAGGATGCCCTCCACGGTGAAAGTTCAACACTTACTCAACAGAGAAAACCACTTCTCATTTACAGGAAACCCCTCACAGAACACAGGGATCCTAAAGAGGAAACATCTGTGTTTTCATGGTAGTTATTCCTGCAAAGGGAATACATTTTGCACCCTGAGATGGCTAATCCAAATTCTGAGAGTTCACTAATATCCAAGCCCAGTTTTGCAAACAACTCTAGAAGTAAAGAGATGTGTAGACAGTGCAGTCTCTCTCTGGAACTGTGAGATATTATTATCACAAAGCAATATTTTTTGACTAACCATAGCAGTTAAACTTTTAATACTTTAGATGCTATACTTAAACATTTAAGTATGAATACAGCAGACATTTAGAAACACTGGAATCATTTGTATGCTGTTCCCTTTTGAGTATCCACTAAGTTGCCAATTCAATGTTGCTTTTATATACAATGTGCAAAATGCTTCTTAACTAAATAGGTATCATCTTACGGACATATGCTATTTATGTATAAATCTTTCATGTTAGTCTCAATCATATCTCATATTTGAGATGGTGTTTACATTTATGCCTGATACTTCATCAAAAATAGCATCTCTTGCTCTCACTCTTAGTCTTTTCAACAGACACCCTAAAAGAGAAGAAGCACCATGCATATTAGCGAACGCTAAATGGTTAAATATTTCAAATCATTTCAACCTTTATTTAGAGAAAAAGAGATAAAAATGTAAAACACACATGCACATGAAAAGAGAACAGAAATTCCCACATGTTACATTGCCTGCTACAAAACAGGAAAGTACTTCATATCACTGGATTTGTTTCACTAAAATGTTACCATCACAACAATTTCTGTTATTTTTATGATAACAAGTCTAGAAATCAGGAAGGGGAAGGCACTGTGGACCTTATTATAGGGTTCAATTTTGAGATTCCCCTTGATGCACAGATGTACTGTACATGCAAAGCACATACATGTAAACACATTAATGATTAGATTAAAATGAATGCAGTGTATTTCAGATGTCACTCAAAGCCACATGTCTATAACTGGTACATTTACAACACACACACACACACACACACACACACACACCTATAATCCCTGATGACAATCTGTAGAAAAAGAACAAACGTGGCACACATGCAGTTGACCACTGAAACCTGAAGCATCAGGTTCAACTGTTTACAAAAGCTACACACACAAACCAAAAAACCACAGACACAGACACAACTCTTTCTATACGTTTTGCCCACTATAACTAAAGCTTTCAAACAATAGCTAGCATTTATCTTAATTTTGGTGGTGGAAAGGTGTCAAAAGCCATTTGACTATTGCCTTGACTATTTGATTCTATCGCTCATTTAAATAAAACAAGGAATGATTATTCCTCAGGTCCTCCAGTACGGGGGGGGGGGGGATACTTCCAGTGCATGTCTGGACAAACCAGTAGGAATTAGAAGGTAGTAAAGCTGGCTGGCTTTGTCTATGTTTAACATTTTCATTCAAAGGGGGAAGCTATGGTGCAGACTAGTGTGCCTCAGCCTTGTCCCTCTCGTTCAAGGTATGGGCAAACCGGAAAAATGGTGGGGGCAGGGCTTGAAGAAGGCAGAGAGGTAGGAGGACCTAGCCTGGCAGGTTGATTAAAGCTTTCAGATCAGATGCTCCCCACTCCTCATGTATGGGGAACAGAAGATGCCCAGATTTATCACTGTTGTTTGTGGTATCAAAAACCTGTTGCCTGCGCTGATGGGAAAGAGCAGCAGTCCGTATGAGAATGAACCCCCCCTCCCCAAAAGTGGATAAAATAGTGAGGGAAATGTTTTCCTCCCCTCCTTCAAAATGTTAAAAATCAGAACCAAGTGACAAAACTGAAAAGATGGATGGAATTTATTCTTTCATACAGCACACCATCTAAACTATGAATCTCTATTGTAAATGTAGCGACTGCCAGCTTTAAAAGCGGATTAGACAAATTCATGAAATATATGGCTATCAACAGCTACCAGGCACAGTGAAAATAAATTACGTTCATTTTCAGTGTCAGTAATGCCTCTAAATACCACTTACTAGGGATCATAGGCAAGAAGGTGCTATTGTACTCATGTGTTATGGGCTTCCCATAGGGATCTGGGAACAGATGATTGTATTAGATGCACTTCAGGTCTGAGTTAGGTGATTGGTGCTTACTGGCTGCATAAAACATCTTAATATGTTTTATTACACAAAGTGCAGCAGTTACTATCTTCCAGAGAATTCTGGCGTACAAAAACTAACTTTTTCAACTCCTTGTCTGTAGCACAGTGTAATGCAGATGATGCTGGTTGTTCTTTCAGTGATGCTGAAAATATTAAGCAAGTCAAACTGGGACAAGCTGACCTAGATCCTTTCCATCTCAAAATTTTAGGTACTGAAAATGAGCTGACCAAGATTAGAGCTTGCGTGCTTTGCAGAAAGTTCAGCCATCTGCACCTTCAAGTAGAAGACTTATCAGAGGGGCAAGAATGCAATAAACCAGTCAGTATAATGAATCATGGGCTACAGAAGCCAATGGTCTGATTCAGTATAAAGCAGCATCTTATTACTCAGATAAGAGGAAAGATCAATACTTGGAGCATGCCTATGTTATAGTGTGATAGTCTGTCTCATTAGTGAGATGAATATAGTA